AAAAGCCGATAGACTACTCTAGGGAGGCCCTACTCCAGTGGTGGTGAGCTGACCTGTCCTTTCATTTCACTTATGAGCACCTGTGGCCCTCAAGTTGCATCAAAATGCTCAGATTGGTTTTCATTTGCCTGAAAATCTATCCCCCCCCTTAATACCTCCTTGAAGCTTAATTATACCAAAGCAGGTTTTCATGATACAGATATGATCACAGCTTACAAAGATCCACAAAGCCTAAGGGATTGAATCCACACTGGTCCAATTGTTCGGAATTATCCTCTGGCTTACTTCTTTACAAAGTGACTAAGGCACTTTAGCTGTGCTGTCACAGCTAGTTCCATGAGGATATTTAAATGAAAATTAATTAAAATTAAATATTTCATTTCTCAGCCACACTCGCCTTATTTTAATGCTCAGTAGCCACATGTGGCTAGTGGCTGCCATCCTGGATGGCTCGGATACAGAACATTTCCATCGGACAGCACCGATCCATGGCACAGAGGGATTGGCTTTGTTATCTAAACACTCGGTGCAGTCATCTCATTCAAAGAAACCTGCGGACCATTTCAGGAAAATTAAATCCCTATATTGATAACTGTAGGTCAAACAGCAGATGAACTTGGGCCATGATCTGAACGCACACCCAGGCCCCCTGCCCCCCAGCGTACCAGACAGTGCAGAGAGGGCAGGGAGGAGGGGAACGAGACGCTGGTTTGTATCCGTAATTAACACCCGTGACCTCTGCATAACCTTTCCCCTCTCTCTTCAGGTCCTCGAGGCCACCCGGGTCAACCGAAGAAAGAGCGCGCTGGCCTTGCGCTGGGAGGCGGGCATCTATGCCAACCAGGAGGAGGGCGATGAGTAACGCGCCCCGAGCCTCGCGGTGCTTGGGGTACCGGCAAACCCGGCCCCCCTCACACCACAGCATTTCAGTGGGGTATTTATTAAAGTGCAAATGACAAACTCAGCAAGCCTCCCGGAGACCAGAAGCTGCGACGGTGACCAACAAAGTGAAAAGGAGTCTCCCCGGCCAACTCCAGCACCCCGGCGTCGGCAGACGGGACCTCTGCCGCCCAGAGAACCGCCTGGATTTGGCCCCATCCACGACCCTCCCAAAAGGACAAAGAAGTTGCTAGCAAATCCACAAGGTCGCCGCGGGCAGGACAGACCGGCCTTGCTGGGCGGGGAGGGCACACGAAGGCAGTGGGGCCATTCGGAGGGCAGCGGTGCCCAGGCTGGTGCCATCTACAAGGCACAGGGTGCCCCCCGGCGCCCCGCTTGGCATCAGGGGTTCAGGGTTAAGGCCCCTGACCCCAGCAGCTGTAAAACGAGCCGCGTCTCCCTCCTTGCCCAGAAGAGGCAATGATTCCATTTCTCTTCCATCGAACTGTTTTTAACCGGGAGCAATTAATGATCGCAATACATAAAATGCATTACTTTCAAGACAATGTTCCTTCGAGTTGCACACGCAGTCTGTTCTCCGTTAGGAGGTTGAGCGCGGGGGAGAAAGCCAAACCAAATGGATTATTTTAGCTTTAGGAGCTTGTCTGCTTACACTATTGCCTGACCGGCAGGTTAGGAGAACACCTTTTCAGTTCTGTTTCTGCGTATGAAAACTGTATTTAGTGGACAACGACTATTTTTATGATGGGATGGGGGACCGTATCCGTGTATAAAGCCTGTACACATTGAACAGCCCGGTTCAATAGAGTAGGGGTATTTTTAGAGTGGCAATCATTGAGAAAAGGGCGAGCTCTGCCTTAGAGAGGTAGATGGCCGGAAATAAAAAGGGGTTTATATTTTATATCGTAGAGTGGACCTTAGGCGTGGTGGGCAGAAGGAGAAATTATTTTGGATCAATCAGAAATGAAACTTTAGAGAAAGGCCGTGAAGGTAGATTGAGGAGGGAGGGAGGACGAGTGGGGGAAATAAGAAAGTAAGAGCTATTTTTGCTGAGCAACCAGTGTTTTTCAGGATGATACAGAGAAATATAGAATAGAAATCTAAGTGCAGGCTTGGAATCAGCTACAGATGCTAAAGACGGTGTGTGTGAGCGTGTGTGTGTGTGTACGCGCCCACACACTCACATACCTCTGTGTGTTTGTGTCAAGTGTGTATGCTCATGAGTAAGGCTTCGTGTGTGTGTTAGGATTAAAATTCCAGAATGCTCATGGAACAGGGTGTACAGTTATTTCCTCCAAAGCTGTTAGCCAGCGTCAGGAGCGAGTGAGAATTTCTTTTTTATGAAAAGGGATGTAGAGGCACCGAGATGCAGTATTTGTAATATTAAACTGACCTAGCGTGGTATTTGCATGAGTCACAACCTCAGAGTTTTGAGCAGTTTTGTAATTTGACATTTAGGAAAGTACCATATTTATTCTCATGCTTTATACTCATGCCTAGTATGCTCTAGAGGATGCCAGCTTTACTCTTTCTGTCATTTAAAGCAATATGATAAGGGCATTCAATAATTGAGTGCCCTAAATTTCTGGATGAGAAAATTTTTCATTCTGGCCATGTTAAAAAAAAAAAAAAAAGCCAGACCAGCATTCTTTTTTTTTTTTCCTTTTTGTTTTAAAACTGTGGTTTTTAAAAATAAGCAATAATGAAGTCAGACCTCACTAAAATTCATTTTTGTTTTTACATGGTTATGTCATAAGCTTTATTATGTTATTCTGCTGAGTAGCAATTCCACAAAATTTGTATGTAGATGTTATACACGTAATCTTTGTTTCTTTTATTAGACTAGTGTTGACTTAGGGGAAAGTTTATTCACAGACAAGCAGTGGGCACAAAGTAAAATTGGACCTGTCTGATCATTTACAAGGATCCTTTAAAACTGCCAAGGGAACCTGCAGTTTGAAGCCAAATTCTACCGATGGGCAGTTGGTGCCATCTTTATGTGGCTCATGCTCCTGAATGTTCTAAACGAATATTCAGCATGTGCCCAACGCTGGGGACACCAAACAAATACCATCCCTGCTGCAAGGAATTCATTTTCGAGCTGGGGAGGCTGGCACGGAGACAGACATTCTCAGGAAAATGAGATCTAGGTTAGGTTAGACGTCCTGACAGGTGACATGGGACAACCAGGAAGGGTGCTTTGCCCGTGAATTTCCAGTGTTCCCAGGGCAGGCATGTGGGTCAGGACAAATGGGCCGGCAGCTCCCCTTGGCCTGGGGCACAGCGGCAGCTGGGACGTCTGCAGGAGAACAGAGTGCTTCTGCGGGTGGCACCAAAAATGAGCCGTGCCGCCCGTCTCCTGGACCGACTGGATCTGGTTAGGACCGTAGACGTGATCTACGCGAACTCCCCCATCTTTCACAAGACAAATCGGTCCTCAGGACTTGCCTGAAGTTTTTTGTTCTGTTGTGAAGGAAACCCGTGTACCCACCTTAAACCTACGTTTGAGAAGAGAATTTGCAGCTGAAAGGAATGCTTAGGAGGCCACGCAGCCATGAGATCACNTGAGAAGAGAATTTGCAGCTGAAAGGAATGCTTAGGAGGCCACGCAGCCACGAGATCACTTTAGAGGCAGACAAGTTGGTCCCTAGCTGACTGGACCAGGCACTTACTGCTCTGAGTCCTTTGGTCCAGGTTCCATGTGTAGATAAGGCGACAAATGCAGAGTTTCCATGACCTTCCTGGGCCACAGAGCTGATGGACTGTGGCCCCTTCGTCTCCGACACTGGCCTGTCCCCTTACACTGCCTTCTGGATATAACTGTCGTCTGTCTCCTCCCTCCACTCACTTATAAGCCCATCAATTTGTAAATTACAGTTCCCTGGGAAGAGCCAGGTTTTCTCTGCGCTCTGGAGTTTTTTACTCATTTAAGAAACATCGGGCCACTGCTTTGTACATAGCCCTGTGCTAGGCTCTGGGATCCCAGACGAACCTCTATTTAACTTTCTGAAGAGAGAACAGAGCCCTGGAGGACAGTGTCCTGCCTAGCCCTTCCACAGGAAGAGGCAATGGGGAACTTGGCCTCCGGCGGCCTCCCTGCCCCCGAGTAGTGCGCAAGCTTGTTAATCTCAACTCTCGCAAGTGTTTAGATTCCGTAGACGTTAAAGGCTTTCCTGAAAGTGTCCCCTTCCCACTGTTGATGGACGTTCACTTTCCTCCACAGCTGAGTAACTACTGACAAGCCTTGGCTTTCTCATCCAGAAATTATGGAAACAGGGTCTGTCGGTGGCCGGAGGCCAGGCTGTGTCCTGTCAGATGACACGAGGCAGTGGCCTTGCCTGTCTACACCCGTGCATGCTGCCCACCCCGGACAACCACGTAGAAGCAGTATATTGATCAGTGTCCACATGTATACACAACACACACGCACACACACAGCGTAGCAGGGCACACTAAGACAGTGTTGACTCTTGTCTCTGAAGGCAAATAATTAAATATTTTTTCCAACTAAAAATGGATGTAATTAAGCTATGTATTAAAAAAAAAATAGCCTAAGTGTTTAGAGATGGTGAATATATCCAATTTTAGTGACAACCAATTTCCTGAATTTTAAGCATTCAGTGAGTGAGCTGCCAACTTTGATTTTGTGTTGCTCTTTACCCAAATGACTTTTTTTTTGTTTTTGTTTTTGGAGGAGGGGGCAAAAGCAGCAATACTGTGTTTGGATATTAGACTCTGTATCCGGCTCTCCTGTGTATGTTAACCACTTCAATGTCATTATTCTGCTTTGGTTTTATAGTGATTGTGAGGCATTCAATGCAAGTATACAATTATTTTCTCATTAAACCCCAGTGTGTGGTGTGTTTTTTTAAATGATAGCTCCTCGTTTGACTATGGGAGGGAGAACAGAGGGCCGATTAGCCAGCGGCATCCGGTGCCCTTGGCCTCCACTTCTGTGGGGGGCAGAATCTACTTCTTGCACATCTGGAACCAAGAAAGCACCCTGGCTGGTGGGGTGCCACTCTTAGAGGTTGTCCCAACACAGTGTGGTCTCCAGCTTCCCTGGATAGAAACCAGAAACTCCAACAGGACCCACCGAAATGGAGTGGGTGCCTCTCGATGAGGTGGGTAGGTTCCAAGGTCAAAGAGATGGTTGGATAAATGGTAAAACCCAAGCTTTGCAGGTGGCTCTTAGGCTCTCATTTGGATTATCACATTCCCAGCACCTGCAGTTGGCTCGCCTCTGACGAACAGGGAATTTCAGACTTCACAGGTTAGTCAGGAAGCTCCCTCCCCAAATTTCCTCCTGCCCTCCACTCCCTCCTGCCTTCTCACTCCCCCTTCAGCCTCCAGCTGCTCTGTTCCATCTCTCCACCCCTTGCACTTACTTGCACCCCTGACCACCTGGTTCCTGTTCTTTACCCACTTGCCACCCCCACCCTGCCCCTCTTTCTAGGGTCTCCTTTCCAGCTGCCTCTTAATCTCTCCCCCTTTATGTGACTTCTTCCAATTCTTTTTCAAGCATATTTTCCTATCCTGAGGATCTGGGGGCTTCCCTGTGGCACCTGTCATGGGTGGCATCTTCCCACCTCTGTATGGTTAGGAGTCCTGAACT